GTTTTGCCAAACACATGCAGGGGAATAATATATTTTTCAATAACTAACATATGGAGGAATATTCTAATTAACTACAGAGGAAGAGGTATATCTATTCTTATCAGGGAAACTGGGGGAAGAGCAAAACGTCAACCAGAAGGAGGCAGCTGCTTTGATCTAAATACTCTCTTCAGTACGAACCCCTCATTAGGGACAAAAGTTCTCCCATTATCTATGTGCGTCAGGGGGAACTTGCCCCTTGCGATATCCTGAAGGTTACGTGCAGGTGGTCACATATTTTTCTCAGTACCAACTCCGCGGGGGGAGCATGCCCTTTTCTCTAAAGCGGCCATCTGGAAAAATTACAGCATGAGTAGGAAAATGGGGTATAAGACAAAGAGAAGAAAAACAAGTTTTTAAAGTTCAGTGTAGCTTGGGGGAAGGCCGGCTTTTCATTTTCTTGCGGAGGGGCGCCCTGCACCCCTCGGCTCTTCTCAATTGGCTGGACCCTGTCAAACAGCCGATCAAATGCTGCCTCAGCTCCCGGCAGCTGTTTTTGTTTTTTCTTTTTCCCCTTTACAGAACACATCTCATGAGTTCATACCAAAATTAGCAAGACAGAACTTTTACTTAATTTGTAATACATTTTTAAATTTCTTTAGTTTTTATTTTTGCATTTTCTTTCTCTTATGCTTAAAACATCCCTAGTGGTGTTAATATCACTCCTTATTTGCTTTGTTTATTTTATTTATTTAGTGTCACAGTAACAATACTCTGTACTTACTAACAAAATGGAAACAAGACATTTTAAGCCTTAGCATACGTCCCCCTAGGAACCACAGTCAAATTGCTGTTTTTTTAAAGTTACTTGAAATAATTCTTCTCTGTGTGTTTAAGCAACCTACTCAACACCTCATTACATACATTTCTGCCACTTTGCTTTCAATTATTAGGGGTTGTCTTTTTAAGAATTAGCTTGTGTTTCGGAATTATGTAAAACATTTATACTGTTCTAAAGTTAAATCTACAAAATCCTTGAGAATTCTGGCTACCACCCTTGTCCCCTTGTTAGTTCCCTCCACTGACAAGCATTTGTTCCCGATACTAAGGCTGGGGGACAAATTACCCAAAACTTAGTGGCATGCACAACCATTTACTATACTCAGCAATTTTGTGGGTCATCAGTTCAGACAAGCTACAGCAGGATGAGTTAACTGCTCGTGATGTCGGGGCCTCAGCTGGAAGAGTCCAGGCTGGGTGCTGGGTCATCTGAAGGCGGTTGCTTGGGACTCTCACTTCCTTTCCAGGAAGGCCTTTCCATGTGTCTCTTTGTACTGGCGAGTTTGCGCTTCCTCACAGCCTGCTGGCTGGTTTCCTCACAGGGACCACCCAAAGAGGGACAGAAAGAAAGCCAGCGGAGGCTGTATGATCTCAGAAGCCCCACAGCATCCCTCTGCTGCATTCTACCTGGCAGGGCTCAGCAATCCCACCCACGGTCACGGGGAGGAGGCATCTCCATATTTCGATGGAGTAGGACAAAGTTCTGGAAGAGTCTCTGGGCTGGAAAGAATGCCATGGCCACTTTTGGAAAATACAACGTGCCACAACATTTTAATTAGGTTTTGGTTTGTCTTTCCATTTTAAATGCCTAAAGACAGCAGGAGCATTCCTTGAGGCAGTGGGTCCGGGGAGAGACTTGGAAAGATGGATGGGTGGTGGTGGGGAGAAGGGTCAGGAGCCCTCAGAAAGAGGAAGTGTGCCGTGAGCAAGGAGCCCAGAACTGAGCTGTGTAGGAGGCCCACTTTTCTCCATTTTCTTTGGAGGAAAGAGGAAGCTTATTCCTGTTTGAATGAGCTGACTTTTTTTTTAAAATTGACTTGTAAACACTTCTATATAAGGGATAGTTATTATTATGGGACTTTTTCAAAGCACAAGCTTTTCTTTGCAGGCAGGCCAGCCTCCTATAGAATGCACACGGGCTCCCACAGCCCATCTCTCTCAGAGGAACTCTCTCTAGGGAGAAGGCGGAGAATGAGTAGAATGGGTGCGATGTGCCAGGCCCTCTCCTAGTTGCTCATGGGCATATCTCAAAACCTCACGTGAACTTGTCTAAGGCCATGCAGTAGGGAACGAAGACGGTCTTAGTACCACCAGGTGGTTGGCTTGAGAGATAGACCCTTTCCAGTAGGTTTGAGCATTAGTTACTTGCATTTCTATTAGCTACAAAAACTATTAATCAAGACTCAGTGTTTACAGAATACCCACTACATGGGTGATTAATGAAATATTCATCTATTATTTGTAATGCAGAAATGCTTCCCTGAAGGAAAACAGCTCAGTTACGGAGTAAAACCTCAGAAGTCTACAGTAGCTTGCTTGTTTTCTTAAGATGAATAATTTTTAAAAACAGTGTAAGTAAACAGTCTTTTCTAATGTCCATATAGGAGTGTATATGAGTGTGGGAGTGTGTGTGAGTGATCTCATGTTTTTCTTTTCCTTTTTGGGAACCTTTTACGATAGGAGTCAGAAATATCACAAATAATAGACTGTTTAGGTAAAAATTTGTTGCTGGTTCCTTGGCCTTGAGGTCTAAAATTTGTCATCAATGAATGAAGGTAGCACCTTCCTTTATTTCACATTTCAGAACATCACGCTGTTGAATTTGATTTAGTCTCATTCTCTGTTCCAGAAAGTTTCTTCCTGTGGTTCTGACTATTGAAGGAAATCTTCAAGAAAAATGAGACTGTGAGAAACACTCAGCTGGGCTTTTTATGTTCCTTTCCTGTCCCTGTTTTTTCATAGCCACAGCTCAAAATAAAACAGTTCCACAAAAAGGATACCACGGGAGCCAGGCTGGCGGGGCAAGGCCGCAGGTGCTAGCGTTATAAGAAAGGTCAGAGGGAAACACCCAGACAGTGTCCTTTCTCAGTATATAAATAATTTAGAACGCAAAGGAGTTTTTAAGGAAAGGTTCCCCAAAGCATGACAAAGCTGGTTAGAGCTTGAGGATCCTAAATGGATGTAACAGAGCCTGGGGACAAAGTCACTCTTCTTATACTGTTAACACACAAGGTCTGAAACCAACGCCCCAACGCCAGGCGCAGGCCTAAAGCAGAACCTCCAAGTTCCCACCCGGGGCCCCATGCTGTCCTTCCCTCCCTGCTGAGGGTCCAGAGGTCCCATAACAAGAGAGAAAGCAGCCCTGAGCTCCTAACATGCATCGGGCCCAACGGGCTAAACCACAACTGACATTTTGTCCTTTAATCATCACGACAGCTATTAGAGAGCATTGCTTTCCTATTTTACAAGCGAGGATGCTAGGTTTAGAGCAGCCGGTTAGCTTACCAAGTTTACACAGGGAACAAGTGGGAAAATCTGAGCCTAGACCCAGACAATCTACTGTCGGAGCACGTGCTCACCCCCTGCGCTCTAACAAGACGATTGACCCAAAGCCCGCGTTCGCCTGAGCCTCCGCTGGCCAGGACAGGGCTGTATGTTCGGAAGACATCTAAATGCAAGCTTTGAACCTAGTTAGCAAGAACCCTCCCTGGGCTCTTGCCGGCCATGACCCCGAAAACTCCCGGCGTCTGTTTCCTCGAGAGCACATACAGACACTGAGGAATGTAATGTTTTACAGCTTTGCACTCTGACATTTGGACGGCCAGCTGTTCCACAACCGAGTGTCCTTGTTTATCAGTTTGCATCTGACAAATTCCCCACCAACAGATGCTGCTCGCCCACACAGAGCTTCTCAGTCAAGCTGGTGCTTCTGCCGTGGTTCCTGTTACTCTGCCCCACGAGGCTGTCTCTCCCTGGGCAATGCAAAGGGCACCTCTACCCAGAAAATACAGGCAGTCTACCTTGATTCTCACCCCTCATTTTTCGGCTTGATTTCCGTAAGGTCTTAGTTCTGCCTCCTCATTTATGGTCGACCACATTCCCCTTCCCACTGATTTACTGCATTTCCCATCTGTCCTCAATGTTTGCCCTGTGGCTGCGATGCCCCCACTTGTGGGAGGATGATATTCTCTACTCCACTGATGCCAAGCTGGACCACGTGACCCATTTTGACCAAAATAATTGGAGTGGAAGATCAGACGTCAGACCGCAAGCCTTCAGAGCCACCCTGTGGTTCTGCCACCGCTCAGCCGCCAGAATGGCAGGTGCCAGCTAGGCCTGTTCCTCCAGCGAAAAAGACCACGGAGACGGCAGCTGTACCTGACCCGCAGCCGGTATCGAACGCGAGCAAGAACCACCTCTGCTGGTGTAGTCAGTAAGCCACTGAGATTTGGGGCTTTTTGTTATTACAGCGTAACCTGGCAAGAGCTGACTCCGGAGTGGGAAACCAAGAGGAGTCAAACCCACAAGAAGTTGCACGATAAACAGGCTTAGTCTCCGAGGCATCCGCTTTAAGGATGATCTGTTCGTAAGGACACTGCTGCCATCTCTGCCCCGCCTCTGTGGACACGGTTCTGTACAAGCTAAGACTGTGCATCTCTCACTCCTCACAACTCACCCTCTCTACACCGCGGTGTGGGAGCCAATAAATCACCCTCAGGTTCCTCCCGCCTCCTGCCTGCTGGAGCCATCCCCTCGCGTCCCTGGGACAGCGGGCCAGGCTCCAGAGGCTTTACTCAGCGTAAAGGAAAACTCAGTTGTCTCCTTCCCACGTAAGAAGAACTCAGCTCTTCTCTACTGTATATTCCCTCCCGAGGAGGGTCCTGGTCGTCCAGGGGCGTGTCCGGGGCCGGGAGCAGATGCGTCGCCCTGGTGCGCGTTCGAGCCAGGAGCGTGCCCGGGGCGGGGGCGTGTCCTGGGTGGGGGCGTGTCCTGGGTGGGGCCTGTCTGGGGCCAGGGGCGTGTCCAGGGCACCGCACGGATCTGTGGCCCAGGAAAGGGGGGCGGGGTGTCCGGGCTGGGGGGGCGTGTCCTTGGCTGGGGGCGTGCCGAAGGGGCGTCAGGGGGCGTGTCCGCCGGCCAGGCGCGGATCGGTCGCCCTGGGGCGCGTTCGAGCCGGGGGCGTGCCCCGGGGCAGGGGCGTGCCCGGGCCGGGGGCGTGGCGTCGGGCGCCGCAGCCCTGAAACGCACCGCGCCTGCGGAGGGCGGGGTCGGCGCAGGCTGGGACTCAGCTGCACCTGGAAGGCCCGGGTAAGGCGGCGGATCCCCTGGTGCTCTGGTTGATCGGCGGTTAGAAATATCTTTAGTCTTTCTAACATGACCCCGATTCTGTTGTCATTAGTTCTGTTTTGAGTAACGGTCCAGTTTAAATATGTATTTAGGGATTTTGGGTACATTTTAGGATCACTAAATTTTAATTTTCTCATTCCTCTCTTGGGCAATAAGCAAATGTATAAAAATAAATAAATGTGTGTATATTACATACATATTGTAGGTATCTATGTTATACACACAGCACAGATACTGAAATTCGTTTTTCTGATTTTGCCTGCATTTTGTGTCCTTTTTTTCTTTTGCTCTTTGTGTGTGTGTTTGTGGCGTTCAACTGTTCACGTCCCTTTCCCCATTAGAGGGATCCGTCTTGTCCCGCTGCTCCCATAAGAGGAGGTGTCATTCTGGCTTTTGCTGGCACACGCATGTTCCTCAGGCACAGGGTTCCTAGGAAGCCAATTACGCTGGGGCCTGGGGACCGGCCTCTAGTCCCACCTTTGCCCCAGGCTTCTCGGGACCTCACCACTTTTGTCTCTGGGACCTTGGCTTTCTCGGGTTTTACCGCTGTCCTCTGCTGCTGCATTTCCGAGCTGGGGTGCCAGTGCACAGCGCTGCTTTCGTCCCCTGGGGAATTGCTCTGGTTTCAGGTGGCTGGGCCAGCCTTTGACCCTGGAGACATGACTGGGGTGTAGAAGGTAGATTTGGTGACCTCGTGAACTAAGCTGCTTCTGAAGACTGAGGACTGACATGCCCAGAGTTAGATGTGTGAGGACAGACTGACGGTACAGACCGGGGAGGGTGAACGGGCTTGGTATTTAAAAAACTCATACCAGCTGATCTGAAGGGTTACTTTCCCAGCACGTCGTGCATGTGGTCTCATTAACTCTCATCGCCATGGAGAGATGGAAACTTGCCGTTCTCGAGTGGAGATCTGCAGAGGGCAGATAACTTAGAGCCCCAGCTGGGAAACCCCCATCAGACCTGGCTCCAGAGCTCCCCATACTGCGTTCTTTGTTTTGCTTCCTCTTCCAGAAAGTCAGCCTGTTTGTATTATGCCTGAACTATTTGTTTTTGTGTGTGTGAGGAAGATTGGCCCTGAGCTAACATCTGTGTCAGTCTTCCTCTATTTTATGTGGGATGCTCCCACAGCGTGGCTTGATGAGTGGTGTGTAGGTCCGTGCCCGGGATCCGAACCTGCAAAACCTGGGCGCTAAAGCAGAGTGTGCGAACTTAACCACTATGCCACCGAGCTGGCCCCTGCCTGCATGTTTTGAACACAACCCTTCCCGCTTTGAAAGAAACCCAAACTGTGACTTCTTGTACCTGAGCATCCTTTATTAAACAATTCCCGTGGCATAAGGAATTCCCGGTTAGAATTTCTCTTCCTTTTGTCCTCTGCTGACCTTAGCGGAAGTGTTTTCTTGTGTCATTTGGAACCCATGCCAACCAAGACTAATTTCTCTTTATTTTTTTTTTTATTTTAATTTCAAGGCCTGATAAAAGTGAAGAATGTAACCGGTCGTGGCACTTTAATTTAGAAGAGATCAAGGTATTAACTTTTCATTCCACTCCCACTGCAGAGTCTGGCGCTAGACTCACGCTTGTCTTCGCGGGTGTCTCCTCCAAGTCAGGTTGTAAAGCGAGCAGGTCAGGAATGTGCTCACCAGGATGGAATTCCTGGGGCGTTTTTTTAGTGTTTATTGAAATCTAAGATAGTCTCACAAATTAAATATGACCACACCTTTCTCCTCCTCTGCGCTGAGCCCAAACCGTGTAAGTGAACCGTGTAAGTGAAGTCAGTCTGAGCCGAGCCGACCCGGCTCTCTCCTGCCAGCCCCGTCAGTGCCCTGTGAGTCCTGTGGGCTGGGCACAGGTTAGGTGTGTCTAGACAGCGCGGGCTTGGAGAAGAGGCCCGTGGTGGCCGTGCTGTCCTTTCCGGTGAGGCTGGGTTAGGTTTCTAAGGAGGGCCCGTGAGCAGGGGAAAGTGAAGGGTTTTTCCGGGACGAAGGCTCACATTACAGAATGACTCATGGCCCTGGAATTTATGAGAGTCTTGGCAGAAGGGATCTTTGGAGGCGCTCCTCCCTCATGTTCACACGCCCACATGTGCGTGCACACACACACACACACACAAACACACATGCAGGCTCACCTTTCCTCGGGGTGCCGACAGCCCCTGTGTGTAACCAGTCCTCCGTCAGGGTAACTAGGACCTGGATTCACAGGGCTGGTGTGCGAGGTCGCCCTGGCCTCCTGGAAACGTGGGGCAGAATCAGGATTTGCTAGAGTTATGGGTCCTCCCCGGTAATCTACGGCCCCCAGAAGGACAAGGTGGTTAGTTCCAAACCCATCTCAGGTTCTAGTCCAAATGGAATTATTTCCTCCCTCCTCCTTCCTGTGAGGATGTTCAGGGGTGTGAGCCGGGAGTCCTGGGAGGCTGGGGACCCTCTGTAAGAATTATTAGTACACCCCGAAGTCTGGTGACATCTCTTGTTCCTCAGACCTACTTTCCTCTTCCTGGACTCGCTTCAGCTTCCCCTAATACCACGGGGACATTCCTGGTTAGAATCTTGTGATCCTAAAGGGGAACTAGAGATTAACCTATTCAGTAATGAGGTACTGAGCGCCTATAGCATGCCAGGCACTGTGCCGCGGGGCTGGAGGCATGTGGGAGCAGAAGCACAAGTGGTCTCCGGCCCACATTGCTTATTTGGGGAGATAGGTGCTAATGAAGTCATCATCCACATACAGAATTACAAACTGGGTGCCTGGAGAGAAAAGTACTTAGAGCTTAGCACAGTGGACCTGAGCTAGGCTCCTCCGTAGAGGTGATATTTGAGCTGGAATCTGACTTGACTAGGTGAAGGGTGAGGAAGGCTGCAGAAGCAGCATGTGCAAAGGCCCTGGGGTAGAAAGTACAGAGACTTTGAGAAGCTGGGAGGAAGCCAGTGTCTCTGGGGTGTGAGCCATGAGCCTAGATAGTGTTCAGAGCCAGCTCATACAGAACCTTGTGTCCTGGTTAAGAATTGTTTCTTTGACTTAAGATCCAATGGGAAGTCATTGGAAGCATTCAAGCTGGAGAGTGAAGTAACCCAATGTGTCTTTTGTAATGGTCATCCTGCTGCCATGTTGGTGGTGAGAGTCATGTGGGGAGACGAGTGAGGAGGCTCCTGCAGGGTCCCACAAGGCGGCAAAGAGCTTGAATAAATGGAGGCCATGGAATTGCAGAGGGGAGAGGATATCCTGGAAGTAGGATGCACAGGCTCAAGGATTGCTGGCTTGGAGAGGAAGCATCAGGCAGGACCCGGGGCTTGTTGACGAGGTGGGCGTCAGTCTCCTTCCCTGGTGTGGGGGACACTGGCGGGGGCCCGGGCTTTGGCGGAGGTATGATGGAGAGTCAGCTGTGGCCACGTGGAGTTTGAATTACCCTGGAATGTCCAGGCAGGTTCAGTGTGTCAGAACAGAGGTCTGGGCTGGAGGTGAACTTGGGGCGTAGACGGCACACAGAGGGTAAACTGAGGCCGGCAGCATGCATGTGGGTGGAGTGGAGAAGGCGGGAGCAAGCCTCGAGGAGCCCCAGTGTTGACACGAGCGGGAGAGACAGGGCGTCTGAAGACGGCATCTGAGGAGAAGGAGGACCAGAGGGGAGGTCCAGGAAGGAGCGCCAAATGGGCCCCAGAAAGGCAGGCGGCCACTGCCCTGGGGGTGGGTCCCTTAGAGGTGCAGGGAGGGAGGGGACCGTAAACCACTGTGTTCAGACCGTGCTGCTCTCCTTGTTTTTAGCACAGTGTCCAGTTTAGCTTTGATCCCAAACAAAAGCAGCCTGTTGGTCACCCTCCATTGTCACCCTGCCTCGTCCCCCAAGGGCTGGTGGGGCTGAAGCCGGACTGTGGCAGGTGGAGGATAGGTGGACGTGGAGACAGCGAGGTGGACAGCTTCCTGAGAGAAGGGCAGCCATGGGAAGATGAAGACAGGGCTGTCTGGGTGGGGAGGGGGAGGGGAGTTAAGTTGTTTAATTACCGATGGCTTGATGGGGAGGATCCGTAACAAGGGCAGTGGGGGCGAGTATGAGGAAGAGAGGTCATCCTGCATCCCGTTGCACACCTTTTTTTTTTTTTTTTTTTTTGCTGAGGAAGATTGTTGCTGAGCTAACATCTGTGCCAGTCTTCCTCTACTTATGTGGGATGCCACCACAGCATGGCTTAAGGGGCAGTGATAGGTCCGTGCCCGGGATCTGAACCTGCGAACCCCAGGCCGCCAAAGCAGAGCATGCAAACTTAACGACTACACCACCAGGCTGGCCTCTGTACACCTGCTTGACACAACCTTTTTTTGGCCACATGGGTGTGCAGAAACTCAAAAGTAAACCCGAAGTCCGTTCCGTTTAGGGAGAGTCTGCAGCGTATGGAAGGGCTCAGAGTGCCCACCCAGACCCGCTCATCTCGAGCAAGAACTTGTGTGTTTGTTGTTTGTTTTAATTAGTAGACGTGATTTTTCAGTTTTAGAAACCTAAAACAGGAAAGCGAAATGGAGAGTACAGAGTTCCCATACACTCCCTGCCCTTCCCGGTGGCCCCGTTACAAACGTCTTGCATCAGTGTGATACATTTGTTACAAGTGATGAGTGAGTATCCGATACTTATTACCAGTTAAAGGTCACAGTTTACATTACGTTCCAAAAGCCATAGTATTATGGATTTTGACAAATGTATCATATCATTGTATCCACTGTGATGGCATCCCACAGAGCATTTCACTGCCCTAAAAACCCTCTGTGCTCCCCCATCCCTCCCTTCCAACCCCTGGCAACCCTGACCTTTTTACTGTCTCCATAGCTTTACCCTTTCCTGAAGGTCATATAATGAGGATACAATATGTAGCCTTTTCACATTGGCTTCTTTCGCTTAGTAATATGCATTTAAGTTTCCTCCGTGTTTTTTCATAGCTTGATAGTTCTTTTTTTATTTTGTTAGCCCTGAATAACACTCCCTTGTCTGGATAGACCGCAGTTTATTTATCCACTCACCTGTGAAAGCTTGTATTTTCAAATGCAGTTTTATAATTACTCAAATTCTCCTTTTAGATGTGTCTTAAGAAGTACTTCGTGCAGAACGAGCACAGAATCATTTTACTCTCCTGAGCGTTATTAACAGAGCTCAGTTCTTTCCATGTATTTGTTTATGCAATTTACCTGCTAGGTTTTGAGCTGTTGGGTCCTACATAGATTTTTTTTTTTCAATCATACACAGGACCTTTTGCCAGACATGAAGATATACTGGCCTGATGTCACCCATCCACCGAATCACAGCCACTTCTGGTGAGTCTGAGTTCTAACGGCCATCGCGGGTCTCGACCCACAAGTGTGAGAGCTCCCTGGATGTGTTCTCAGACGAACTGTGGGAAGACAGGGAACAGATGGTATGCCATTTTTGGTGCCTTTGGGTAAAAGGCATAAATGGCCTTTTCTGGATAAAAAAATGAGGGCAAATGGAATTCACTTTACAAACCTCTTTTTAATCTGTTATTTCATTTGTTACTTCCTTTTAAAATTTCCTTTAAAAATTTCCTCTACTGAGGTTTAACCAAACCAGATACTTGCCTATCTAAGAGGCCATCCCTCCAAATCAGACAGGAGGGACTATTTCTCAAAGAAATTGTGCTGTCTTGAAATACATCAGGGAAAAAGCAGATATAGTTAAGAAAAGAATTATCCCTTCATAGGAGAGATTAGGGAAGAGAGAAAGTGGGATTTTCACTCGAGGCCCCATCCATAGTCTGTTCCAGTGAAGCATCTGTAAGTTTAGCAGGAAATGCTGTTTAAGCCAAAACGGCTTTTAAAGTCACTTCTTTTACAGAAGACAAGATGAATATTCCTTTTATTTACATTATATTAACCCAAAATAATTCTTTATTTTCTCCATGTCATTCGATATGGCGATTTATAATTTACATTACAACTAATCTGATTGTGTCCAAAATGATTAACTTAGCTTGGAAGTATTTTTGTGTAGAATTTTTAGGAAAAGAAGTTTAGAGAAAAGCTTTTTTAAACATAATGGAAAGAAGGTGATGCATCTTCCTGGTTCACGAGCGGTCAGTTTGCAGTTTCGTTCTTGGGTGTGTGACGGGGCGGTGGCCTTAGAATTCACAAAGCCTGGATCTGTAGGTAGAAATCATTCCATCGATGGAGAAGAGAGCCACTCAATGAAAACCGGGGAAATGCATGGTTCAGGCATCCAGGCTTATTCTGCACAGCCTGTATCGTATAGCTAATGGCCTTAGTGAGTTGAAATGGGGGCAAACAATGAAACCTTTCTATAGCACTTCACAGTATGCTTCGGAATAATGAATCTATGGCAACTAAGGATGCAAAACATAATTGTTCTAGTTGTTACAATGTTCCATGATGAGTCAATCAAATTGTTGCCAAGTGGCTTAGAAACAAATCAACAAACACACTTAAGCCTTCTGTGCGTTGGGGCCTTGAACATTTAATCAGAATAGTGTGGGCAGAGTTGAATTTCTTTTTGGGCTCTAGTAAAGGCAAGATGATTTACTTTTCTGGGTTGGACAGTTAAGGTACACACTTGAAAACTTTGGTTCTAAGTGGAAAAGGTAAACTACGCATGTTTTTCAGTATGTCTAGTTTCTAAAGCGCCTCAGTACGGAAGGGCAGACACGGGGACTGCCGATGTGGCACTGTCATCTCTGTCTCCCTAGTTAGTGGCCTTGGGCCACTGGTGCCCAGATTGCCTGTTTTGTGAGAGTTTCTAAGGTGCCCACAGAGGCGCCCCCAGCCTCTCCACCTCGGCTTTGTCATCAGAGCGGGAGGCTTCTGTCAGAAAACTTTTCTCTTTAAACCCAAATATGAATCCCGTAAGCAGAGTAGGGAGTCTTGGCAGTACTTGGTGCTCAAAGGATACCCCAAGATTAAATCTGTTAATAACTAAAACCACTACGTACACAGCCGTGTGCAAAGTAGGACTTTGGTTTGGTTTTTTTTGATTCTTGTAAGAAAAAGAACAGATTTGGGTCATGCCCAGTGTGGGGATGCAGCCTCGCTGTGGAGGTGTCCCTGGGCCTCAGCTGTCCCTGGGGAGCAGGCCAGGCAGTCACGGGAGGGTGACCCCGACACCTGCTCGTGTGCCCTGGTCCCTCCGTTTCTAGTAAAACAGGAATCATGATTCCAGGACCTACTGCACAGAGGAATCGGAGGGGTAATGAGCTGGAACACGCAGAACACTTTACATGACCCCAAATACTTCCTAGGTCATAATAAATATTCAACGAATGTCGACTGTCT